GATTGAGAGATTTTTTAGTTAAAATATTAAAAAAAAAAAGAAAAAAAAAAGAGTAAAATATAAAATAAATAAAAAAATTAATAAGACAAAATATCACATTTAAATTATAATCATTTTAATTTTTTCTTAAAAGTAAAAAAAGTCACAAAATCCAACCAAAACAAGCTTTTTAGCCTTAAGTTAAAATGGCAAAAAAAAAAAAATTAAAAAATCAAAAAATCAGCATATTTCCCAAATGAAGTCTTGATTAGTTTTAAGGAATAATTCTAGAGACGGGCTTCTCTCTAATCCGAGATCAGATTAAAGCATGTTGTTGGATCCGTCAGGTCCACCATGAGTCTTGTGTTGATAATCCAAACAATTCTATATGCAGAACTCATCGATTATTTTATCCTTGTAAAAAATAAGGGTGAGCATGGTTCGAATTGGAGTCAAATCAGGACCAATTCATTATCTACAGTTCCTGAAAAATTAGAATCAATCCAATCCTTTTAAATCGTGGAACCAATCTATTTAAACACGGATTGGATTGGTTTAAGATTACGGATTCACATAATTAAATAACAATAAATAAATAAATATATAGAACATTTTAATTTCATAAAAACATAAACATAGTATTATATTAGTTCCACAATAGCAACATGTCTTTCTATAATAGTGACATTCTGTTCCAGAATTTAAACAACTATAAAAAAATTGGTTCCACCATAAGTATTTATACCATTACAAATTAAAACTAAAAGCTAATAAACAAAAGTAATAAAAGAAGATACTATATGAATTTAGATTTGGATTTAGGTTTTATATGTAATAAGAGAAGATACTATGCGGGAGGATGTGTAACATAAATATAGGCTATTTGTATACGGTCTGGATCGGTTATAATCTGGAACCGTGGGATTCAATCTGAAACTAATCCGTAAATTACGGATTTTTAATTTTTCAATTAGGAACCGAACCACGGATTCAAAAAACCAATCCAAACCTACCAGATTGGACTGGACCAGATCGGATTATAGATTTCACAGATTTCTTGCTCAGCCCTAGTAAAAAATCATATTGATCGGATATCGATAACTATTTGATCGAATAAAATTTTTGTCAGCGGTAAATATAATTTTCGAAATAAATTGTTGATAAGATCCGATCAAGTAGCTATCAGTATTCATTCAACGTGATTTTTTACAGATATAAAATATTCGTCGAACTTTACATATCAAACGTTCGAATTATCAAAACAGAACCCGTAATCACAGATCCAACAACACCATCCAATCCACTTGGATCGGAGACAAGTCTCACCAAAAATTCTATTATATACCACCCCATACACTCTTAAGAGTGTTTTGGGAATGACTTTTTTTTGATTTTTTTTTTTGGTTTATTTTTGTCTCGAGTAAAAAAGAAAATTAAATTTTTCAAAAAGCTTTAGGTTCCTAAATTCAGTCCGACAAGACAAACCGAAAAATTATAATTTTTTGTTTTAATCTAAAAAAAATTTAGAAAAGAAAAAAATAAGCCAAAATAAGCAATTATTTTATTTTATTTTCGTCTTTAGTGATTTTTTTTTTTGATTTTTTTTTAAATATACATTTTAGATTCGTCTCTTCAAGACGAACCGAAAAAGTAAAAAAAAAAATTGATATAATTTTGAAAAAAAAATCATTAAAGACAAAAAAAATAAGAAAAAGATGTGGCTTTTTTTTTGTTGCCAAAATGAACTCCTCTTTTATTGTAAGCTGGGATATGGGGAATTCTATTTGCACCCAAGAATCATTTAGTATGTCTAATTTCTCAATACTCTTTATTAAATTATTTATGTTATAATTTATTCTCAATGCACCTTTTTTTTTTACAAATTACTCTTCAAAATAAAATCATAATTTATGATACACCAAAATAATAAACAAATCAAAAAATCCTAAATTCCTCCCAGTCAATCTCGCTGACCTCTGCAAATATGACAATCTTGGTGAATTGCTCCGCAACTCCCCCGCCGATTACCTTCCCTGCTATTTCAAATCTCACCATAAATACATTTATTTGGATAACCACCTGCCCTTACTTTTGTAAATCTCATCACTGATTCATGTGTTTGTATATATATTGGTATTATTGTGTTATTTATTTAACATCGGACGATGGGTTGTTGAGATTTTGACTTGTTTGTATCTATCATAAGTGAGAAGAGTATCACATTTTTTGAATCCTAGACATTGTTTTGTTTTGTTATATATTTATATATAAACATGATAACATGATTTTAGACATATGAAACATATAGAACTTGGGTGCCTCGCCAGTGATGGCTAATATAATTTGATGTAGCTCTTAATGTTTTATTGCTCAGGAACTCATGGGTGATCCTCACTGAACAATATTTATTTTGGAAGGAAGGATTGTGAGTTTTGAGCATTTCTTCTATTTATAAGTAGCAACACAATAAAAAATAATAATTTTAATGATAATGGTAAGTTTTGATGGATGGATTGGAATTTTGGATGAAAAAAAAATAAAAATAAAAATAAAAATTGAAGAAAAAATAATTAAAACTTGAAAAAGATGATGAATAGACTGGATTATGAAAAATATGTATAAATGATTAGTGTGTACCATAAAAAACAAAATAATATTTTATTTTAAGATGTAATGTATATTATCCTTATTAGTAAATTTATATTAATGTATAATATGAATTAAAATTTTAATTGGGCATCTACTGAGTTACTATTTGAGATATGATAAGGGAAAATTGATCTAGGATCCCTCTCCCACTTTTCGTAATGGAAGAGATCTACAAAATTATTTTTTGACGTCTAAGGTTCCTAAACATATATCAAAGAAATTTCAATCCTTTATACAATCATCATCATCTGACCTATTCCATTTCTCAACCAGAATAGCCCTAGTTTGCTCGCAAAGCGTCTTGACCTCAACTTCCGTTAGAGGCTTGAACTCCATCAAGTGCTCGATTTGCCGATCCAGATCCGCGTGCGAAGGCATTCTCTCTCTCTCTCTCTCTCCGATCTGAAACACTAATTGATCAGAGACTGAGATTTTGATAAAGCGAAGTATAGTACATTTAAGGATATATCAAGAGAATATCAACAGGGCTTGATGGATGTAGAGACTTATGTAGGTTATGTGAATCAGTTTGGCTTGTCACATCTTGTTATTGAGTTGGCTAGACTCTGTCCTGATGCTGAGAAGCAGAGAGCACTTGTTGAGACCTATGATGCAACTTTGCAAAACAATGGCCTACAAGAAAAGTTTTGGAGCAAGGACAGCTCACAAATGAAAGATGGTAATGGTTCCAAGAAGGTAAAGGGAAGTTCTTAGATGCTGAAGACACTCAATATTGGTGAAGTCAATTTTCTCTGGCTTGGAAAGTCCAGAATTTATCAATTTTTTCTGATTTGAAAATTGGTCAAACTTTTCTCTGGGTTGAACCTAGAGAAATACTTTGGAAGTCCAGAATTTCTCTGGACTAATTTTCTTTGGACCAATATTCTCTGACCTGAAGAAAGCTTCATTATTGTTATTTATTTATTTGACCTGAAGAATGCTATATGATTGAAAATACAGCTTTTATATCCAGTTCGATTCTTAAAAAATACTTATTTGTATTTCTGTTTTCTTAGAAAAGAGCCTTCTAGCTATGACTTTGAAGCAACATAGAATTTTTGCTCACTCAATACCTGCATGTATGTATCCTACACTTGCCATAATTTAAGTGTGTATGTAAGGGTATGTGTATGCTTGTGTATAAATGTAGTACCATGAAAATATTCTTCTGTTTATTACCTTTAAAAAAATAGTTAATATTTTAATGGTAAAAAACACACTGCTTCATCAAAAAAAAAAAAATTTCTCAAATTGTCAGTAGCAACAATGGTGGAAGATCAAACCCACAGCAGAGAAATTTGAAATTTCTCTGGAGTCCATGAAAGGCTAAGGAAATTTCTCTGGCAGTGTCCATGAAAGGCTAAGGAGGCAGAGAAATTTTGAATTCCTCTTGACCAATTTTCTCTGACTTGAATTTTCTCTGAACCAATTTTCTCTGGATTGATGTTGAGAGACCTTAGACATCATGAAAATATTTGATGTCCTTTATACTATAAAATCATAATATCAGGGACCTTAAAAAAAATACCCCATATGATAAACCATTTAAAGTTAACCCCCAAAAAAATTAAATTTGCACATTTAATCAATTTTTATTTTTTGTTCTAAAAAATATAATTAAATGAAACTAACATGAAAAGAAAAAATTGTTAAGACTCGTTCCGTAGATGAACAAAATTTTATTTGGTTTTTAAAAAATTTGCAATCAAGAAAAAGTTAGTTTCATTAATTTTGAAAATAAACTTTCAATCCTTCATCCCTCTCCAATCCACCATTGCATTCAAGAACTGCCATTTTGAGAATCGCCACATACGACATTCTTAAGCCACTATCTCTCGCGACTGATAACCACCTAATGTCAACAACCACCTCCCATTGGCCCTCTCATACTTGTTTTCAAATCGAGTTTATAAAATGACCTATTTTTACCAAAAATAAACAAATATGTTTAATATTTTTTTGCACATTAAAATAGGCAAACTATTTTCATAAATTGTACAAGGAATTTTTTGAAAACTCCATCCAAAAAACACTTTTCATGTTATCTTTTAAAATTTTAAAAAAATATATATATTTTTGCACAAAAATAAAAACAATATGAGAGCAATGGATATTTTTGAACTTTTCATTGTCTTCATTCTAGAAAAACAAGACAAACAAAAATACCCAAAACAAAAACAATACCAATCAGGATCCTTAATAACCTTCTTGTTCCTCTTCTCAAAACATGCCACCCATTCTTTTACACTAACGATGCGTAGTGAGTTGATCCTCTTAAATTTTGCATTTAGCTAACAAAAATGGAAACAGAAATGCCGGCTCAAAAACCAGAATACAAAAAAGTTCACTATTTACATCCAATATATGAATATCAGCACAATATTTGTACATAATTTATGACAAAGGTGGTAAATAGATCTCCTGCTTCATATCAATCTGTTCGCTGTAAACACAGTATTGATCATCTCTTTCAAATTCCTGCATCCCAAGATTGCTGTCCCCTCAGTGCCAATAGCTGCAAGAGGTTTCTCAGTTGATTTGGGGACAATACACTTTTTGTATCCTAGCTTCACCACTGTATTCAACCGCTTCTCCATTCTTGATACCTGCAAATATTGGTACAATGAACCAAACAAAACAAAAAATGAAAACAAGAAAATGAGTCTATAGTCAAACGGAAATTATGAACACACTACGGGGCATGCTGGAATACCTCTTGCCATGCTCTCTCAAAATGTTTTTATCTTAAGACATTACTCGCCAAAACTAATATATAAGAACGTATTTTTCACGTTAAGGAACTATTTTTACGTGCCATTTCATGGGATACTATAAACTTTTGGAAAAAATAAAATTTTAAGATAGGTACAAGATGTTAAAGGCTAGCTAGCACTGAAGGAATGAATGTGATTATGTTAAGCAAATTGCTCTTTCCATATAACAAGAATCTAATGTTTTTACAGTTTTCAAGTTACTACGTGTAGAGATATAGGAATGTACTTATTGGAAATGCTTTTGGCTTCAATAAGGGGTTTTACAAACATATGAACACATAAATAATATCTACTAAAAAAATACATCCTTAGTACCAATCAAAGAAAATCTATCTATATTTTTTATTTTATTTTATAATATTGAAGATCAGAATATAATCAGAAACCCAAAACGTGATCTTCCGAATACTATAGATGGCACATTAGAAAAGGTATTGTATAAACTGAATTGGCATTTCAGACTAAATTTTAAATTTAATACAATAACAGAGAAAGTAGATACTTACTGGGCGAAGCTCGCCACCAAGGCCAATTTCTCCAATGAATGCCACACTATTGGGAATAGGAAATTCCAGGAAACTGGAAAACACAAAAGTCAAATGTTTTCTCGATCTATAACAAGTTTAAGTCGTAAATAGATGAATAGGAGCCAAAACAGGTAAGACGAAAGCAGCAGTACGAGACTTAGTTGCAATAACTAGTGCTGGAATTTGGGCAGGTTTGAACCTGATCCGGAAAAAAAAAAAAAAGGGCAGGCAGGCTCTAGCTCAGGTTTTCTACAGTTGGGCTTAGGTTTAAAAATCATGGGTTTACCTAAGGTCGGGTTGGGCATGAGTTGCTTGCGGTTTGACAGCTAAGGCAACCTGACCAAACCCAATGTGAAACACATGTAGACCAATTTTACCATACATGTAACATGAACTTCACAACATATATTATTTTCTAACTGCTCATACATTTCTTAGAAGCCTGAACATTTTCAGAAACCCCCAAGATAACATGCTATAATGTTTGGGTGGTAGTATTTACTTTTACAATTTACATTAACAGCCCCCCTCAAACTCAAGGAGGATAGGTACTAGCCAACTTGAGTTTGGAGAGAGTAACAAAACAGAAAAATAAGCTGACAAATAAAATTAAAAATGGGATAGGAGACACTGTATGGTTGTGTCAGACCGTTGTAGAAGACACGGTATGGTCGTGTCGGACCGTTGTAGCAGACAGTTTACGGGGTCATGTCGGACCGTTGTAGCAGACACTGTGTGGTCGTGTCAGACCGATGTAGAAGACAGTTTACGGGGTCATGTCGGACCGTTGTAGCAGGACAGACAGTTTACGGGGTCATGTCGGACCGTTGTAGAAGACAGTTTACAGGGTCATGTCGGACCGTTGTAGAAGAATTTGGTGGTGCACCAAGGTGGCGACTTAAGGAGTGCGCCATGGGGTGGCTTGGTTGGTTCGCATGGTGTGTAACCATGCTCACCATGATATATGTATAATCCCCCCTCAAACTCAAATAGGTGTGAAGATAAAAACCTATTTGAGGTTGAAACGAAGGGATTGATAAAGCTGACCGGTGTAGAAGACACTGTATGAGTGTGTATATAGGCTGCCCAAAAGATATACATGGATATAGATATCGAGCCCTCAAAAGTCGTGCCCTCAAAAGGTGTGCCCAATCTTTCAAAAGGCGTGCCCAATCCATAAAAAGGTGTGCCATCAAAAGGCGTGCCCAGTTTGTCGTCGAGCGCCGAGCAGCGCATGATGCGCGTGTCTGCCTTGGCTATAAGACGGAGGCTGAGGCTGAGGCTAAGGCGAAGACAAACAACTTGCGAAGAAAAACTTCTGAAAAAAAAAGTCTGCGTTTGCGGAGAGAGAAACTCTGTAATACTCTGTAAACACTCTGTAACCAACCCTTCTCCGAAACACTCAGCAACCCATAACATGGCCTCACTTTCTCAATATAACTTTCTTGAGACAACCAAATCAGCCCCTCTTTGCGATCACGAACAATTTTTATACCAAGTATTTGCTTTGCCAGTCCCAAATCTTTCATTGCAAAAGACTTGCTTAATTCCAATTTCAACCTGTTTATCATGGTAGAATCTTGACCCACAATTAACATATTATCAACATAAAACAAAAGAATAATAAATTTGCCATCCGGGAAATTTTTCACAAACACACAATGGTCCGAAGTGGTTTTACAAAAACCATTATTCATCATAAAAGAGTCAAATTTTTTGTACCATTGCCGTGGAGCTTGCTTGAGACCATACAAACTTTTCTTCAATTTGCATACAAATTTTTCTTTCCCTTTTTCTACAAAACCTTCTGGTTGCTCCATGTAAATTTCTTCTTTAAGATGACCATGAAGAAATGCGGTCTTCACATCAAGTTGTTCAACTTAAAGGTTCATACTTGCAGCCATGCCAAGCACAACCCGAATAGAAGACATCTTTACAACTGGTGAGAAAATCTCGTCAAAATCAATACCTTTCTTTTGCCCAAAGTCTTTCACAACAAGACGTGCCTTGTACCTCAGATTCTTGCTATCATTCTTCAATTTGAAGACCCACTTGTTTTTCAGAATTTTCCTCCCTTTAGGCGACTTCACTAAATCATAAGTTTGGTTTTCAAGAAAGGAATTCATCTCTTTGTCCATGGCCTTTTTCCAATCACCTTTCTTTGCATGCTCAATTGCTTCTTGGTAGCTCTCAGGCTCCCCTTGATCGGAAATCAACACAAATTCATTAGAATGATACTTTCTTATAGGTTGTCGGTCCCTTGTAGATTTCCTCAACTCAAGTTGTGGTGGCAGTTCTTGAGTTTGATGCTCTTCCTCAATTTCTGGCTCAATTTCATTAGGATTAGCATCATCTTCCACATCTTCAATAGGTGGCTGCATATCTCCCCTATTTTCATCATCAACTGAAGATGAAGGAGATGGATCCATGTCAATGAGATCACTAATTTTTGGCTCCGGTTGATTACCTTTGTCAAAGTCCTCAATTGTTTAGTCTTCAAGAAATACAACATCACGACTTCGAATAACTTTCTTGTCGACTGGATCCCACAATCTATAACCAAACTCACACCCATAGCCAAGAAAAATGCATTGTCTTGACTTGCTATCAAGCTTGGACCTCTCATCCTTTGGAATGTGAACAAAAGCTCGGCAACCAAACACTCTAAAGTGCTCATAAGACACATCTTTACTGGTCCAAACTCTTTTTGGAACATCATCATTCAAAGGATAAGAAGGAGACAAATTTATTACGTCAACCGTTGTCTTCATTGCCTCACCTCAAAAGGATCTTGGCAATTTAGCTTGTGAAAGCAAACACCTTGTTCTTTCCACAATGGTGCGGTTCATCCTTCCGGCAACGCCATTTTGTTGAGGAGTCTTCTTAACTGTTTTTTGGTGCTGAATACCTTGGCTGCGACAATACTCATCAAATGGCCCAATGTATTCACCACCATTGTTTGATCGGATGCACTTCAATTTCTGCCATGTTTCTCTTTCATCCATGGCCTGAAAATGCTTAAATGCTTCTAGAACTTGATCTTTAGTTTTTAGTAGAAAAGACAAAACTTTCCTTGAATAATCATCAATGAAAGTAACAAAATAAAGTGCACCACTATGTGTTCTAACTTTTAAAGGACCACAAACATCTGAATGAATCAACTCCAAAACATTTTCTTTTCTGGAGGCAACATTTTTATGAAAAGAAATTCTATATTGTTTACCCGCCAAACAATGAACACAATTTTTAAAATGTGTACCTTTCAAACCGAGTAAAAGCTCTTTCTTGAACAATATTTGCAGCCCCTTTTTCACTCATGTGGCCAAGCCGCTTGTGCCACAATTCGGTAGAAGTATCATCTTCAAGTGCATTGACAACACATTTACAAATTTTTTCTTGTATCAAATAAAGTGTATGAGTCTTCTTGCACTTAGCCACCACCAAAGAACCCTTTATGAGCTTCCATATTCCATCACCAAATTTATTGTTGAAGCCTTCATCATCCAGCTTCCCAATAGAGATCAAATTAAGGCGAATGTCGGGAACATGCCTCACATCTTTAAGCAACAACTTGCAGCCCAAATTTGTTTCTAAGCAAACATCACCCATGCCAATAATCTTGGACAAACCTTCATTATCCATTCGGACAGAACTGTAAGTTGAAGGAACATAAAAACAACCTCACTAGCAAAAATGGCTAATACAGCCCTTTTGCCTCCTCACTTAGAGTTGCTCTTGGTGTAGGTAGTGAAGAAATCAACTCGAGAAGTCACATGAAAAGAAGCACCGAAATCAATTACCCAATTGCTCTCTTGGCCTACAAAATTGATTCAATCATTTTTACAAACGACCATGAGATCATCGGTAGTAACTGTCGTTGTGTCTTCTTGCTTCTTTTTAGTTTTCCAAGTTACCCAATTGCTTCTATTGAAGCTAGACTTACGACCCACATTCCTCTCCATTGATTTACACAAATAATTAAACCCAAATAAACCGTAAGCTTTGATACCATTTGTTAGGAAAAATCGATGATTCCCCACAAGTAAATCAATCAATGGGAATAAAAACTAATGAGGAAAAATTAAATCAAAAGCAACACAAGAATTTTTACGTGGTTCCCTCAATGTGAGGTACGTCAACGGGATCGAAATCCGATTCCACTATCAACCAAATAAGTTCCAAACGATTACAAACGAGACACAAACGGTCTCACAAAACGAAATAACCAAACATTGTTCTAAGTTAGCTGGAAAAAACTAACTTAGACGCCTAGTGTTACAGCAGATATAAAACCTCCCAATGCCAGCCTTCGTCTGTATGGAGGAGCTGCTTTTGAAAGGGTTATGCATGAATTTCGCTGTGCTACATATTCCATTGAATGCCCCCCAGTATCAAGGGAGAAGGTAAGTTTACTCCAACGACTGTTTATCTTGGAATGGAAATTAGAATATAGTAGATTTGATAACATAAGCCATACAGGTGGCAAATATATTACTTGCCCATGCTGGCCGTGGTGGGATTAGAGGAGTAACAGAGGCAGCTGCGGAGATTGCACGAGCTGCTGCCCGGTCATGGCTTTCTCCTCTTCTTGACACTGCATGTGATCGTCTTGCCTTTGTTTTGGGGAACCTCTTTGATCTTGCTGTGGAGAGAAACCATTGTCCAGACTCGGACTGTAAGAAGCCATCCAGTTTTCGTACTTTACATTTTCCATTAACAGATAGCTTCTTTCCCTTGAATGAAAAAATAAAAAATAAAGGGAAGTAACATCTTAAATTTCTTAATCTCTTTCAATATGGTTTTTCTGGAGGTAATAGAAATGACATTAGCTACTAGTGATTCAATCATCCAGTTATGGCAAATTTAAATTATTATTATTTTTTTGCAGTACAAGTATGTGATTGAATTTCCAGTTATTTTATGCTTTAGTAAATAATGCACCTTCACTCTTCTATTCTCTATCAAACTCAGAACTTCAATAGGTGATGTCTTTCTTATGGCGTCCATGCTTCAGAGCTTAAGCTAATGTTAGGGTAGCATTACCTGTTCCAG